TAACTATAAATAAATGGAAATACGTTAATCACAAAATACAGTAACTTATGTAACAGAATTTTTTACAGTGTTTGTCACTGTCATAATAAGCTTCAAAATCCAATACTAAACATACCCTTGTACCACAGTTTTTCTGCAGTGTTGTTTGGAGACGAGTTATGACACATAATAAAAGGCCATAGTGGTTTTTAAGTGCGTGCACACACACACACATATGTTAACCCTTGAAACGAGCATTTGCCTATGAAAAACAGGTTGAGGTCAAGAGAGGGCTAAGTAGCACATGCGATGTTATCTTGGTATCCTGCTCTTCAGTCCTAGCGAGAGGCACCAGTAAAGCCTTTTTACAGCATCTGCTGATACAATATTCCATTGCGACCACAGCGTTATCTGAGTCTGAGCAAACACACCTGTAATTATGAGACTATTTCAGTACCAGCCCAACGCTGACTGCGCTACAGTACCTCACATGAATGCTGACATCATCGCAGGACAGGGGGGAGGAGGGGTGTAGAAACAGGGTGAGGCTTTCCTTGAGCAAACTTCAAGCAGATTCCTCTAGTTGTACTTTTAACAGGAATCGTTAACAAGGCAAGGAATGAATAGTGATAAATGGGGGGATTCCTTTAACTCAATTGCTTAGACGAAAACATATTCAAATGAATGTATAAAAAGTAAAACGATTTTATTTCAGTAATTGTAATGTGAAATACAAGACAAAAATGCCGTTTAAGTTGTTTATGGTTTTCCTTTTCACATTTTACCTTCATGATGGCTTATTAAATATACTCCCTTATTCAACAGCTCTGTCTGTTTCTTAAATCTGATTCCTATCAGAATGCGATATTCTGTCATATCAGCACTTGTACAACCTCTTCACTCTTGTGTATTACTTTACCCACATGAATGGCAAGCAGAAAATTACAGTTTGACAAATATTGCAGCAGTTGGACGACATAATGTACTTTTGAGGCGAGAATGTAGTTGTTTCGTAGCAGAGCAAAGATGGTTGACGTTGTCTATCCACAAGATGGTGACAGTGACCGCATAATGAGAGGAGAACATTCAACGTAAAACTACAAACTACAGCTGATCAAATTATTATAAATCTGGTAAGTGACATTCTAAAGGCCTGTGCACACTGAGACGGTTTTTTACTCGCTTTTTCCGTCAACGTTTAATGCCTCATGACTATATAAAGGGCGTCAAAGTTTTTTCAACAGTAATCTGGTACTGATTGTGTTGCTTTGGCTTTTTTAGGGTTAATTATTGTGAAATTGCAACTGGAAAAATCTGGGAAATGTCTGTAGACTGATGGCATTTTATGCCTTCAAGTTTTATAATCTTAAAATGTGACCATAAAATCACCTGTTTTGTCATAACTTTAAACATTACGCTAGAGAATCATTCAAACAGTAGTCTTCCTGTTTGATTTTGTTTTTTGTATACACGATTATGCCATCGAACTGTTGTTTAAATGAAATATCACACTCGTTGCAGAACGCTATGTCTATATATCATCACTGGTAGGACACTGACACTTGACCTGTAGCTTTGTGTCAACGCACACCTCTTACCAGTGCCGATATACAGCCATATTGCACTGCTACTCATGTGATATTGCTTATTTATTTATAGTCAAGACTGATATTATTTATAACCCTGACAAATTATGACTTATATTCTGACTTCTATCCCTACAATGATGCCTCTTGTATATTGTCCTATTATCTTTTGGGAGAAGCTTGTGTCATTTCTTGTCAAAATAAAACTGATGGTTGAATAAAAGTAACTTTGAGTTAGAATTTACCAAAGGTATGAATCATTTCAGGCTTGACTGTATATAAAATATAGTTTTTTAAAATTCAAATACATACATTTAGTTGAATGCATTTAAATATATTGACAGTGCAACAAATTAAGCTGCTAATGAAAATTTTTTATCTATACTACAACAAATTATATAATTAATATTATATTATATTATATTATATTATATTACGTAACTAGCTCTAATATAAATAACAATAAGTATTTTATAATCGAATTACAATCATTTTTAAATGCTTGACATAGAAGAATTGAATAAATTAATAGTCACATTTTGTTTTATCCGACTGAACTGACAAAATTTAAAGCCTCAGATGGTACGTCATAATTTCTGTTCGTCTGAGAGCTTAACAACTAGTCCGTCCTGCTCGGCTGGCTTCTCAGATGCACACATCACGTCTCTAACATATCAGTGTCATGCTAAATGACATCCACAAAACACTGGAACACATTATCAGATTAAAGGCTTTTGAATTCTGACAGCCAAAAAGTATCATTAGACCTCATCTGAACGTGGTTTGAGGAAATCTGATCGGCTCTTTGGAAAGACAAACATAAACACGCAGCCATGGATGAGCACACAGCTGTCCGACACTCTTTAGAAATAGAGGAACGCTGCATATGTGCCATCTGAATCGGCACAGAAGTATAAAATCATTATAGTACATGCAGTGCCTAGTAAAAGCATTCAGGCACACACGCACACACAGACACACTCAACCACTCGTGATCTGGTTTCTGCTGCAGTTGCTAAATTGCAGTGTTGTGTCCGTGTGTCTGTCTCGTGAGGCCGACGGCTCGCTGAAGCCACATGATGGCAGGAATTCCTGGCTGCTTTGGGCCTGATGTAATCTCTAATACAGGCTTTCAGGAAGCAGGGGAAAAACACACGCGCGCACATACTGTACACACACACACACCTGCCAGCTGGCACTGGCGTGTGTCTGTACGCGCTGACACATTTCAGCAAGCAAGATACGCAGGTGCCGCATTAACTGACAGAGCAAATTAATGTGTTTGCTGCTCACTTTTTTAATAGATTAGCTTTTTAAAGACAAGAGGAATGTTTGGTAACACTTTAAGTATAATCTGTCTAGAAACTAGCACCCTGTTTCCTGGTGGTTATTAAGATATTTAATGTTTATTGCGCATGATCCTATTTTACATTATTAATCCTATATGCAGGGCCGGATTAAGGACATATTGGGTCCTGGGGATTTAGCAAACCAAAGGGCCTCATTTATTTTGTCTCCTCACAAAAGTAGCCTTTTTGCTATTTTTATTTTTTTTAATTTAATAATTAATATTATTTTCTAATTTTCCACTATTTGATTTAATATTGATTTTTATAAGCCTAAATTTAATAGGCCTATTTTACTAAAACATGATTACAAAATACAAAATTAATCACATAACATGAACTTCAAATTTTAATCAGGCTGCCAAAATCAGAAAAAACATGGAAACAAACAAAAAACACATTTCATTTGCAATACTTCCAAAAAGAGTGCTTTAAATAGGGTTATCTTATAGACCTAAAAGTTTTTACTTCAAACTTTAGCTTAGCAGAAATATCTTTAAAAGCCATGCTTCTAATTTCCCATTTGGTCCCAATCAATTACAGAAGGTTAGCATGCTTTTTTTTGGCCTCAGTTTTATAGTCTCAATATTTAATTTCTCCTTTTAACAGAGCTTTTGATAACTGTTAATGTAGGCTATTTGATTAGGTTGCGTGTTGTCTTGGTTATATGGGCAAGATTGTGCGGGTGCGTGGCCCAAACTGCGGTTTAGTTGTGAATCCTTCATACAGCATGATTCTGCCTATCCTGACTTCTCTTACAGCGTGTTAATAACGGATACCATTTGAATTTTATTTTTTGTTTTACAATGCTTGTTTGGTTAGCCTACCATTGACAGGACCGTACTCGCGGTACTTATTGAGCTACAGCCACAGTTTAGAGGGTCAGTTTTTTAACAGCAGTAAGCCGTAAAATGAGTGACCATTGACTTCTTTTTGTAGACACAAACACTGGGGCTTTTCTAAAAATATCTTCTGTTAATTTATTATTCGTTAATTTAAAAAAATGTATGAATTTCACCTTCAAAAATCTAAACAAAACAATTTATTGTGAGAAATGTTGAAAAAAAAAACTAAAAACATTGTCAAAATATCTTTTTTTATGTCACTATTTACTTTTTTAAACCTGTATGCGTTCCTGTACGCAAATCAACAAAGAAGATATTTTGAAGAATGTTGATAACCAAAGCTGTTTTGATGGCCGATGGCTTTCATTCATATGGACAACAAATATTTCTCAACATATATTTTGCTTTGTCATTATTTATTTGTTCCAAATTTTAATAAAAAAAAAAAAGTATATTTCTAAAGTGTAGTGTTAAACAAACAGTTAAGAAAAAAAATACTTTGACATATTTAAAAATATCTCCATTTATGTTTTTATTTGCATAAATAAAACATTCATTCTTGACCTGTAAGAGAAAAGAGAATTTAGAGAAAAGTTGGTAACTTTTGGTGACCATTTAGTTTCCTTTAGATTGAAACATTTCTCAAAATATCTTCTGTTTGTCAGTATTTCCTCATTCCCTAACTGTAAGTATTTCTTTCTCCACAAGAGTAAGTATTTTGGCAAATAATAATAAAAATTCTTTGTTGATTTGCGTACAGGAACGCATACAGGTTTAAAAAAGTAAATAGTGACATAAAAAAAGATATTTTGACAATGTTTTTAGTTTTTTTTTTTTCAACATTTCTCACAATAAATTGTTTTGTTTAGATTTTTAAAGGTGAAATTCATACATTTTTTTAAATTAACGAATAATGAATTAACAGAAGATATTTTTAGAAAAGCCCCAGTGTTTGTGTCTACAAAAAGAAGTCAATGGTCACTCATTTTACGGCTTACTGCTGTTAGTTTCCTTTAGATTGAAACATTTCTCAAAATATCTTCTGTTTGTCAATATTTCCTCATTCCCTAACTGTAAGTATTTCTTTCTCCACAAGAGTAAGTATTTTGGCAAATAATAATAAAAAAAAAAACGTTCAATATATAGACAAAAACATATTTTTTAAAATAATCAGTCGCATTCTACATAAAATGACAAAAGAAAAAATGTGCATTATGACAATTTTTTGGGTGAACTGGCCCTTTAAATGTCCTTCTTTAGCATTTCTAAAAATAAGTCCGCATTTTCAGCATTTTTGCCATCATATGTCATAGATAAATCTCATTATGTCCAAGCGCTCAGAATGCAGCTACCGTTCATACCAGAATGAATTTAAGAAAGACTGACGTATAGAAACAAGGAAAGTTAAAAATATTGAATAACCAGGATCAGACACTCACCTTACTGCTGACACATTGTCTCTCATCGTCCGCAGGACATCTGGATATGTTCCTGTAAAAGAAGCACTTTGTTTTGACCAGCGTCTGCACTGTTGTTTTCTCCTACGGTTGTGTCACTCTGTCTATAGCACAGCACTCATTTCATTCCTCAGACTTAATCATCTTAAAGGGAAAGTGCTTCTAAATGTCACTGAGCAAAACTTTTTTCACGTTTGTTCTATTATTCAGCTAATTAATCTGTTACTGTGCAAGCAAGATCTGATTTGTGATTTTAAGTTGCTTGAACTTCATTGTTAGTGCTATAAAAGTGATATTTTTATAGTAACCCACAAATCTCTCATTTAAATTAATATTTTCTGTAGGATGCTTTACAATAATATATTTGTGCATATACATTAGTTTAGTCAGTACTGAAGCCAAATCTGGATCTTTTCAAACAAAATAACATACAATAATGGTTCAAAAATTTGTAGCCCAAATTTATATGTTAGGGAAAAGATTCAATCAAATTTTCAAAAATAGCAAAAATTAAGAGAAACAAAAAATATATACTTTTTTGGCAATATTTTGCATCTTTCCATTTCTAAAGATGTTCTTTGACTAAAATATTATTTTAATAAATATATATGTTTATTGAATCTGTTTTGTTCAAATGCATCAATATATTTTACCTATAATCACTGAGAAATGGATACAAATATTCATTTTCGAAATGGGGTGTACTCATTTATCCTGAGCACTGTATATACTATTTAACATTAAACATGGTAAAGGTTAGGTCATTGGAAACCACAAAATGAGTGGATTATAAAAAAATAAATAAATAAAAAACAATATAAGTAATATGTATATTTAAGTGATGATAACTATAATTAAATAAACCGGAATATTTATACCGTGTATACAAATGAACAAACAAACAAATAAATATTATTGAGAAATACATTTTTCTTTGACATTTTTTACCCTAAAGAGGGCTTATTCTTTAAAACCCATATAACATATTTTATAGAATTTATTATTATTAACAAATTTATTATTTACTTAAATTCAGTTTATCAATTAAAACAAATTGATTTGAGCCAAAAAATTGAGCTGATTATGATTTCAGCTATAAATTTAAAGTAATACCGAAACTCTGATTGTGTAAAAATATATGTAACAAGGGCTAAAGTATGTATATATATATTACACACACACACACACACACACACACACACACACACACACACACACACACACACACACATACATATATAGCCTTTCAAGTAACATTATTTTATCTTTAAAACTTGAATTAAAAGAGCTGAATAGATTAAATTTATTCCAAAAAAAAAATTAAATTATGAATAAATTAGGCTAATACTGTATTACTGTATACTTAAAAATACTCTAATAAGATATCCGCTTGTTAAGTCACGACGTATCTGTGACGTAAAAAATACTGTTACCGGGTCCAAGCAGCTACTCATTTGAATTGAAAAATATTAGTTGATGACTAAAAAAGTAATCACTTTCTGGCCATTGAATATTAGACATGAATATATATATATATATATATATATATATATATATATATATATATATATATAGTGATTTTCGAAAGTAGATAGAGCGATTGGACCCGGAAACCGATTTGCGTGACGTCACACTAAACAAGCGAATATGCATAAAAACCTAAAAGTACATACCTTAACATTATTTACAAAATATTACAATTTTGTCACATTCAGCTGACTCGAGCCCTCATTATATTCTGATCCCAGTAGCCATTTATTTCAGAAGAAAAAGGCCTAAAAAGCTACATGTTTAGCCAACATGATGACAACCTCTCAATTTCCCTACATGGACACTGAAAAGGGAGGCAAACCAGGAACAAATAGAGGGCTGATGGGAAAAAAAACTGTATGTTTACCAAAAAAAGCAAGAACTTCAAGTCTTTGCAAGGCTATATGGGGAGACAAAGTGCAAACATTGCATTCCTAAACAATATCGGTTTACTCCAGAGACTGTTGATCAATGCAAGCTCTATTTGTAGAGCTAGAAAGCATTAATAATTCACACAGCCCACCTTTCAGCCAGTGAAATACATTACTATCAGCACACTCATGCTTCTGGCATCAGCCGAGGTGCTTGAGAGTTAACCACTGGTTCACGGAGTAACCACCAAACGTCTGACAGTCCGTAAACAAGTCTAGCAAATTGTCTCACCTTCATTCTCCTGGTGGTGACGACATCAGAAGTCCAATCAGTAGTGGTGAGGTCAGGAAACTTCCGGTCCAGTGCAGAGACTGTTCAAAAACAAAAAGGCATCACTTTTTTTTACGGTCAGCCATGTTTATATATGCACTCGGACAAGACAAAAGACTGAGTCACAAAGGGATCTGTAATTCTTCCATTGCTTCAGATCGATTTTCTCTATTTTTAAGGTCAGCAGTATTTGTTTGCGTATAGAGGCTGGAAGCACCAAAGGTGATGAGTGTAGAGATGCTGAACAGTTTGTCAATAGTGTCTGCGAAAACCAACTAAAGAATGAAGCTTAAAGAAAAGAAAGGCAAATATAGGCAATATATTTAAAGGCAATATTTGCTAAGAGAAACAACAGAGCAGAGTTTCATTACAATTTCAGACTGGGCAACAAAATATATTATGTAAATATTGATATATACATAATAATTTTAATTAATTTATATTTTACCCATTTTTTTTGTCTTGATCCTTATTTAAAAGCATGTTTTTTTTTATTAATTTTTAATTAATTTATTTTTTACTGGAAAACAAGCCAACAATATACAGTTGAAGTCAGAATTATTAGCTTCCCCCCGAATTATTAAATCCCTTGTTTACCCCCCCCCCCCCCCCAATTTCTGTTTAACAGAGAGATTTTTTCAACACATTTCTAAACATAGTTTTAATAACTCATTTCTAATAACTGATTTATTTTATCTTTACCATGATGACGGTACATAATATTTGTACTCTAGGTTAATTAGGGTAATTAGGCAAGTTATTGTATAACCATGGTTTGTTCTGTAGACTATCGAAAAATATTTTTAGTGTAAAGGGGCTAATAATTTTGACCTTAAAATGTCTTTCAAAAATGTTAAAACTGCTTTTATTCTAGCCGAAATAAAACAATTAAGACTTTTCTTCAGAAGAAAAAATATTATCAGACATACTGTAAAAATGTCCTTGCTCTGTTAAACATCATTTGTTAAATATGTATAAAGAAGAAAAAAAATCAAAGGGGGGCGAATAATTCTGACTTTAACTGTATATGTTAATAATAATGTTTATTGGACCTGATTTTGAACGTAGATCTATACTTGATTACATTTATTTTTTATACTTAAAACAAGTCGCTCCAAATGACATACACTCTCAAAAAAACTTTGCGTTGTTCAAACCGAAGTTATGTCCAAAAATAGACTACTGAATTAAACATTTTATTTTAAAAAATTACAAAATTTAACCCAGTGTTTAGGTTTGTCCATACTTGACCCAAATTTGCTCAGAAACGACCCAGCATTTAGGTCGAAATAAACTTAATTCAAAGATTGTACAGTATGTTATGCAGCTTTGTGTTCACCTGTTTAAATGAAAAACACATACCAATGCAAATGCAGTATATGCAGTCTACTACTTTTGAATACACTAAAATACCATAAATTGCATTTGGACTAAAAACACTTATAAGGGACACTCTTACCTTGGGTGATAGTTATTTGTCACTTCAGTCTGTCCCAATATCCAGTTTCCTAATATCCAGTCTTTCACTGGTCAGTTGGATGAGATGGCAAACACAGTTAATGTTGCTGACCACAAGCCTCAACTTCTTTCTGAGAAGTGGGTACAAGTCAAGGCATGTTCTGGTTGCTCTGCACAGCGCCCTCTGCTTCAGCTTCTGGAGGAGGAGCACAGAGTCAAGAAAAACACTGAGCATCAGAGGTGACAGGACAAATCAGACATCTTTCAGAGGTCACTATACTATCTTTACAGGCAGTAGCATGTTCTGACACTCACTGCGCAATACAACAACACACGAGTGACGTGGACAGGATGTGAGTGAAGACATGCTAAGGGAAAATAAGAATGCAAGTGAAGTCTATTTAGTAACATGATTATTAGTCATTTTGTTTTAGTCAGGCATTTCAAGGGATTTGCGTAACTGGGATTAAATCTCAAAGTATAGCATTTGAGTAGGAAATCAAATCGTTTGGTAGTTTAAAATTTACATTGGGAGTTATTTTGTTAAAGGATGTAGTTGAGAACTTTCCTTTGGAAAGAATTAATAACTACGAAAGGGCATAGCATAATTTTAATACAATTTTATTTAAAATCCCTGGATTTTAATTCAATTAAGCATTATCAAAGCTATTAGTGTATACGAAACCAATAAAGTAACTTTTAAATCAAGGGCAATAGGGAAGATCTTTTTTTTAAGTCACAGTAAAACTTCAGTTTGTTCTACATGGGACCTTGTACTGCTCCCCCTGGTGGTGAAGTTCTTACTGCACCAAAGTTTAAAATGAAGGTATTACTGCTCTGCTTTTAGGATTCAAGCAACTTTTTAATCAGGTTGATGTTAATAGGTACAAAATAATATCTGTGTATGTAATGTATATAGTATTAATTCTAATAATTATAATGTATTTTCAAAATCAATAATTATTTTTATAATTATTAAAATATAAGCATGTTTTATGCTATATTAATTTTCAAATTATAACGCACCTCTAAAATAAAAAAAATATATAAAAATAAAACATCCCATAAATGCTAAATCTGCAATTTTTGGTTGATCAACTGAAAAATAATCATTAAGCATTGCTTAATCAAATTCTGAAAAAAGAAAAAAATCACAAAAAAGATTTACACTCACCCGATTCCTCAGTAGAAAATGAATCCACACAAATGATTTCTCTGATTTGGCCTGCACTGATTTATGTACCTCTTAAACACAAGCCGTTAATTAAAGTAAGGCACCAGAGCAGTAACGCAGAGAGAGGACGGTGCTCTAGAGAAACTTCATCACCAGGCAGAGTTGCAGAGCAGCTGCACAGCTCAGCACCACAGTTAATGTAATGCTGTGGCCCCTCTCTCTCTCTCTCTCTCTCTCTCTCTCTCTCTCTCTCTCTCTCTCTCTCCTCTCTCTCTCTGCAGTCTGGTCCACTGTACGTTACAGTACAAGGACTGCACTTCACTGGATTGCAGCAGTCCAAGACTGATGACCTTACCAATAAAAAGAGCAGCGTCACAAATGCCAGCGTTTCCATTTCCATCAGCACACGCTGTCCTGTGGCTCACCTTCATCCTTTACGCTTACCCCTTTTTTGGGGTTCGCCTCACTATAAAGTTTTTGAAGTGACACATTTGGTTCCTTTCATCCTTCTTTGAACGTTTGACATGAACAGTAGCAAATGGTTTTACAAGACCATGTGTAGTGTGTCAGAGCTGATTGATGGCTAATGGACGCAGATGCTGCAGTGGCTGTTAAGAGGGCGCCAAATTTCACAAAGCGCACTCACTGGCCTACTCGCTGCTGCATTGGAGTTTCATATGAAGCAAAATCCCTGAAATGTCCCGACTATAAACGTCTAATTTTGTTGGTTGATTGTGAATAATAGATTCGCGGACATCTTTGAAGTTCAACACCATTTAATTTCCTAAAGAGCATGTGCATGTATGCTTTCAAGAGGTTGGAGGGCAAGCATGGAATCCTTACTCCAGCAAGATCAAAGCTTGCTGCATTGATTACATCATCGGAACTAGAGCACTAGTACGGGACAATGCACCATTGGGTTAGGGGGAGGGGGGGCAGTAGGTTCGTGGGGGGATGTTGTGGAGTAAGCAGGGTAATCTAGCTGTTCTGTCTTTTTTTTTTACTCTCTTGCTCTCTCTCTTTCATTCTCTTCCTGTCAGGAAAGTGTAGCCACACTAACTCCTGAAATGCCTAACTCTAGACAAGAGAGATATACCCTCATAGCAACCCTCGGTTAACTTGCTTTTTCTGTTTCTCTCCCTCGTCATCCACGTGACTGTATAGCTGCCTGTCTTTCTTGCTGCTGCTGCTGCAGCTGCAGCTGCTGCCTCATCTTGGCAGTACTGCAGGAACTGTGCTGCAGGACACTGCAGGGTATCCGCTCTCCCTCTTGGTGCTTCTCTCAGTCTGCAACTTTTCACAGCAATAAAGAATATGTTTAAGGTTTGTGTGTTCATGCCATTCTGTACCTCGAAGATGATCTCTAGAGAGCATGGGGGAGGAAGAGTAAAAGGAGATGGGAGGATGGGTGTTAGGAACATCAGGTGAGTGCGGCAATACGCTTTTTGGCTGAGCAGCAGCAACCCCCCCCTCACCCCCCCTTTGGTGAGCGCCAAGAGAAACTGCAGTTTCTGCTAATGATGTCAGGCAGTGGATCTGACAGTGATATATCACTCCTCGCATTCCTGCTGTATACAGATCTAATCCTGCCCTATAGCTTGCGATATACGCAACCGCGGCTGTTCTTCAATGTTCAGCAGGGATGGATGGGTTATACACGTTACCTGAGTTGAACTCCTTACCGGCGGGTCCCTGTGCCGGTAATGAGCTCTGTGCTCAAACTGCAACCTACACAATTTAGTAAAGTGTCACAACATAATACTAATACATATCGAACATCATCATCACTCTTAATACCAGCACACTGTAGATATACAAAGTCAAACTACAACAAATAAGACTTACAACAGCATCAGAAGATAACCGCAACAAATATGATGCATCACCCATGTTTAAGAAGCTAAGCACTACCTATAGAAGAGCAGAGAGTGAGCTGAAGCCGAAAAAGACCTGCAGTGAAAGAGTTATGAGTCCCCCCCACCGCTTCATTCAGTCACTCTCTCTCATTCTCGGATGGGACAGTTAGCAAGTGTGCTGCAACATACAACAGTGAGTGCGAGACGCACACATTCATAAACACACTTGAAGCAGAGACTCTTATGCACCTGGCTAAATCTTCCTGTCAAAATCTTCTGTCCGAGTGACCTAAGAGTGTATGGTGGTGACAGCTGATAGCTGACACACTCACACAGCACTCTGTCCTCCCTAGGCCATCCTAAAACGTTACTTCCACTTTCCCATCTGCTGCAAGCTCTTTAACTCTTTCCCTTCCGAACATTCTGGATCCAAGACACACGGCATCCTCAATACACTGAGATACAACAAAGTGCACCAAAGTATAGCACCCTGAAGCTGAATATGTCTGGCCTACATCTTTTATTTATGTCTGCAGGCGTCAGTGCTATACCGGTCCTGATCCCAATCCAAGCCTGTGCGTCTTTTCTTCCTATGCTAAGTGCTCTTCCTGGCTGGTATCCCACTAAGTACTAAGTTACACACATCATACAAATGGCCGGCATTGGTTAGGGAGATCACTACCAAAGTGTCAGTAGCCTCACTGCAGAAGATCACTCATCATGTAGGTCAATGCAAACGGGTCCTTTAAGACTTCAGTGCAGGTGAGAGAATAAATTCTGCAGCCGTACTGAAACATCCCGCAAACCTAAACCCCCTCCTGACGGGTGAAAAGTTCAACATGCGTCCTCTATCTCTGCAGAGAAAGACAAACTTGCACATACTCACTCAGCTTCCGCTCCTCTCTGGGTCTTGCAGGGATGATGCACAAGCGGCTGTGTCTTCTCCTCCGGTGCTGTAAAGTTGACTGCAGCATTGCCTGCTGAATGGAATGACATTGTTCGCTCTCTCTCCCTGCTTCATTCTCCTGCACTCTCTCTCTCTCTCTCTTTTTCTATCTCTTGCTCCCCCTCCTCCTCTCTGCGCGCTCACTGGCAGTACAAACTGCACAGCTCAGCAGTGTTCTCCCAGTGCCGCAGCAGCTCCTGCATGAGCCTTGCGTATCCGAGTGTGCCGTGACTTTTAAAGGGGAACGCAACCTCCAGGGTCAGTGTGTGCCTCATTGCCACCCCCCTACACTCCCACTATGATGACCCCCCCCCCCCCTCCACCACCACCACCTTCCCCCGCAGCAGCTGTTTAAGACATTCCTTAAAAAAAGGTATGGGGGGGATAAGAAGGAAGGGGGCTATTGAACCTACCTCAGCTCCATTGGTTTAAACGGGTGACCCTTTTTTAAACTAAAGTGTGCTATGCTCGTAGTGCGGACATCATCCATCTTAGCCACTGACAGTGGCCCAAATCCACTTAATGAGGCTACGTGGGTGATTTCGTCAGGTGGGTTTTAAGAGAAAATGTTCATTCCGATGGTGACGAAAAAGAAGTAGAAACACAAAACCAGGTTCTTGAGAAACCCAATCTGGGGGTGTTTGAGGTGTATCGTTGCTTCCATTGCAACCAGGAGGTCAACTGTCTGGGAGTGAGAGAGATACATTACCAGCGGTGTGCAACATTATATTGGACAGACCACGAAGCGTTTTGACAATCAAGATGATTGAGGCTTGGTGTTGCATTCGCCATACGTTTTAAATCATGACTTACACGTTGGGAGATCTGACATTACCGTAACTTCGAACAGAGGGGGTTTTGAGAGGGCTGGCTCACTCCGTGTACAGTAAATCAATCGCAACTCTGTACATCAGCAAAGCTGGAGCTGCAACCCTGCAGCGGATTTTTTCCTATGTTCTGGTTCTGTAAAGCACGACGGTTTGTCTCTGAAAGCTTTTACTAGCGTACTACAGCAGAAAGCCCACCAAGCAGTTACATTTACTCCTGTTCAATGAAATGCGGGAAATATGCGATCTGGAGTGCACTGTGTCAGGGTTGAGTTCACAAGACCATGACCTCTGGATAATATATAAAAAGGCTGCAGCATGCTGGGAGTCTGCTAGGGGGCTTTGTAGAAATGGCAGATGTCATCATAACTGTATTGATTGGTGACCTGCGAGTTTGCCCAGTGGAACAGAAAGCCATCCAGCACAAACTCGGTGCTGATCTCGCACATCTGCATAGCTGTGTGCACACTTTTCAGTTTGATTCCCCTAAACATTTAGGCCCTAAATACTGAAAATCATACATTGGGGAGAAGAGGGAAATATTAATGAAATATCCTAATACATTCACATATTCACATCCGGCTGTTTAGATGATTTGATTTATGGTGTTTACCTCCCTCTGTCTCATCTGTGACATTAAATGAAGATGCTCATCATGGGCAGAAAACCAGGATGATTACACCTGCCGATGCCATCGTGGACAAGTGATAAGTTGCACTTTTTTTTTTTCTTTCATACAGGGCTTTTATTCAAAGTGACTTACCAATGCGGAACTGAACATCAGCAATTTATCATAAGGAAGCAGTAACGTGAGAAGTGCTGCAATACATACTGTAGCTTCATGATTGTTCAAAGAACTACATGCTACAACAGAGGCTAAAACAAATGTACCAACATCTGTTCCATCCAACGCTATATTTAAAAATATTTTACAGACTGTCAATTTAGAACAGTGCATATGTTTTGACAATTGATTAATCTTTATGCTTTTTTGTGTGTGTCTTATGTGTTTTGATATGTATTTTTGTAACTTTGTTTTATGCTGCCTGTCCTGACCTGGTAGAAGAAATATTGTGTCTCAATGGGACATTAAATAATTAAATGAATAAAAATGCAGGGTCATTATCAAAAACCATAAAACTAATATATGTGTTTATATAAAAATAAACTAAACTGCAAAAAATTAAAAGTTGACTCAATTCAAAATTGTAAAGCCATTTGCTGCAGAGCCTTTTTGAGTTAAATCATTTACAACTTAAATCATTTGAGAAGTTGAAACTTGAGTCAACTCAAAAAAAGCTCTGCAGCAAGTTGCCTTACAATTTTGAGTTGAGTCAACTTTTAATTTTTTTTATAGTGTACCCTGAAAAATATGATTTCTGCAAAATTGTTGTAAGCAATTTATATGGGTTGAATTTAAACAAACAAATTAAATTGAGTACTGTTTATCTTAATTTGTTTGTTTAAATTCAGCCCAAATAAATTGTTTACCACTTAACATAAAAAATTAGTAAATCCAATGAATCATATTTGTATATTTTTTTTCAGTGTAGTTTGAGTAAAATGCTAATATTTGTTTAATTTTATAAAGACCAGATAACTTTACTTCTCATATTTTACATAAAATATTGCCATTTAAATTATTATTTTTTTTTTTTGAGAAAATGACAGTTGACAGAATGTTATTCCACCGAACATTCAACACAACATCATGGCAATTCATAACTTTTTGATTTAGTGGCTAATTTGTATGAATTCATTGTATGCACTTCATATAAGTGCAATTTTTGTACGATTTGCTTAACCCCCAATGGTGGTTAGGTTTAGGGGTGGGATTGGGTGCCATGCGTCCTTTTTAAAATCGTATAAAAGTTTGTACGAATTAGCCACTAAACCAGGGGTGCCCAAACTTTTTTATATGATGGACCAAAAACCAAATATCATTGATAGCCATAAGCCCAAGACCAAACTATTTTATATTGGGTAGTTTACTAATTTATTTAGTAATATTTAAACATAAATAGAAACATTATTTTGAATTGTATTATAACTGTTTTGTAATTAAAATTGCAATAAAAACATAAACAATCACATTTATAACACATGGGAGTTCAGTGCTGAATAGACTAGTCAAGTGGAACCTGCATTTGCCTTAATTTGCTCACCAACGTTCTTTGTTTGTTGGGTGACAGTATGTACATTTTAAACTAAATCGAAGTAATTTGCACCATTTAAATTGAAACGTTTTTTTTCACTTTGTCTTTTTTGTAGCTTAACAATAAAGCAAACAAATAAAGGGTCATATTAAATTAGAAATGACAGTCTCTAAACCATTGCCATCGTTCTCCCTTTTTTCAGATGGGATGGCAGGCCAAATCAATGGTTACCATGGGCCAACTTTAGCCCGCAGGCTCTACTTTGGGCATTTCTGCATTAAACTGACAAAACCTAAAATAGTTACGTTTCCTTGTGAGATCAGGCTAAAATATTTTATTCTTAACTATTCTGTAGTTAAATTATTGTGTTGTCTAAAAATAATATAACTGGTCTCTTATTTTAATATTTGTACTTTTCAGTTAAAATTTAAATAAAATATATAATCAATAAAAGCTAATTGAAAAAAAAAGAAATATACACAAAAAATGACTTGGAACTAAAAATAAAATCAGAACAAACAAATGAAATCTAACTACACTGTAAGTAAATGCTGGTTGCCTCAAATTCTTAAGCTGAATCAAATTAACATTATCCATTGAACTTATATCATGTTAAACTGATCTAAAACAGCTCGCACGACTTACAAAACTCAACAAAAGTCAGAACATGATTAACTTAGTGTAATAAGTTACAATGAATTAAAACACATGCTGTCATTATATTCTGATAGTAATAATTATTTAATATTATTTTATATTTAATACAATGCCTTAACCCTTCTTATATTTCAATAATCTTATTTTTATGTTATTTTCTTGATAGTCAGTTAATATTGTGTAAAACAATATAAAAGTATTTACATAAGCAGTTTGCAATAGAATATTATATTATATTATATTATATTATATTATATTATATTATATTATATTATATTATATTATATTATATTATATTATATTATTCATTAATTTTCTTTACAGCTTAGTCTCTTTATTAATTGGGGGTTGCCACAGCGGAATGAACCGCCAACTTATACAGCATATGTTTCACGCAGCGGATGCTTTTCCAGCTGCAACCCATCACTGGAAATCATCCATACACACTCATTCACACACATACACTACGGACAATTTAGCCTACCTAATTAACCTGTACCACATGTTTTTGGACTGAGGGGGAAACCTGAGCAACCGGAGAAAACCCATGCGAACGCAGGAAGAACATGCAAACTCCACAGGAAACCAGCGACCTTCTTGCTGTGAGGCGACACCACTACTTTCTGCGCCAATGTGTCACCTATATTATATTATATTATATTATATTATATTATATTATATTATATTATATTATATTATATTATATTATATTATATTATATTATATTATATTTAATAATTACTTTAAACAATTATTTTTTTTAAATATCACCTTAACGTTAACTAATAAATATCTTAACTAAATATTCATATCATTAATTGTTCAGTTTCTCCAAGTACCATCATCACGTATTAAACAAAAGCTCATATTAGGCAAGCGCTAGTTTGTACTCATGCACCTCTCAGCATTTCAGCTCTGCCGGTGTGCTGCATCTCTCCGCTGAGCATCCTGTGCTGACTTTGACACAGATAGAAATGCCTTCACCAGCATCTCCTTCATGAGCGGTGCATTTGGGTAATGGCATCTCCATTGATAAATAAAACATGAGTGAAGGGCCCTTTTACATGGCTGATCACATTACCTCTCGCCTCACCTGACGCTCTGAGTCAGCTGTCAGAGTGTCCCCTTCCGCCTCCGCACCACTCCGGGATCATAGCTGGCCGTCGATACCCACGGGAACAGCTTCATCACCAAACGCTAAAACTGTTCACAGCCAGGTGTACTGCAGGATGATTTAAACAAAGCATGGAATAAACAAACACCGGCTCTTTTAATATTTGTTTTGACTCATTGTGTAAAACATACAGTTGTCAACGCATCATGAATATGCTGTCCTAGTAAAACTCTTTTTTCTAGGAGATGTTAAGTGTATGCATAAAATGAAGATGTGAGAAGAAAACCAAATTATGGTGCAATGCTTTTATTCTGCCTTATAGTACATAAAGTTTCACGCCAATATGTCAAAGCTTCGCAGAGATACGGCCTCAGATGCAGTTTGGGCACCAAATCTGCTGATGCAGTGAATGAAAACCATTTGTATATGAAATCCATATATT